GGTGGATTCTATTATCTGGATCTGGAAGCTGTTTGTTTGTTTATTTATTTTCTGTCTTTCCCGTCATCCCAGGGTAAACAGGTCATTGTTACTACAGTGAGAAAACACAGTAAATTGCTCTCAGTGATTTTACTTTTATGTAGACATTACGCTTTTAAACTAAGCTTATTTCCACACTTGTGTGTAGAGAGAAAGGAAATTCATGTCACTCCTGGGGAGGAGCATTTTACGTTATATTTTTATGTGAGTCTTCTGCTAGCCCACTGAGATTTGTTACAATAAACATAAAACAATAAAGATTTAAAGCACTATCATTGCAGATTTTTATATGCTGGCAATAAACAGTAAAGAAAAGGAGTGCAGTACCCCTCAAACAATCAACAGGAGGTACAGGAAATAGAAACAGGCTACAGCTGGGGAGGTGAGCACACAGCAGCCTGGACTCCAAATACCGCAGCCGATTTGGCTTTGTGCTGCCTGTGGTCTGAGGATGGTTTTCACGTTTTCCAATGATTAAAACCAAATCTAAATAAGAGCATAGGAGTGTGTGGAAGTGTATGAAGTTCTAGTTTCACTGTGTGTGAATGAAGCTGCCTTGGAATAAGGCCACGAGCGTTCCTTCACTTCGCTGTTACCAACAATCCATCGCTTCCTTTGCACTGTAAAGACAAACTAAAATATGGTGTGCAAGCTAAAAGTATTTGCTGTCTGGCACCATGCTGTAAGTCCCCGCCACTCTCAGACCTACACGGCTTTGTCTCTGCAGTAGCTCGTGTTGGCCTCATAGAAATGATCATCAATTTGGCTTGGTTTTTCTTGCCAATGGCTGATACTTTTCTTGATGATATTAGATAGACTGATGATTCAGACCCAGACAGTCCAATCTATTAAAGTCAATTTCCACCCTTCACAAAATACTCAGGGAGAAACCAATGTATATTTCTGTCAATAATAATATTTAAGAAGCGGCCTTTGTTTTTTTTTTTTTAAGCTATCCATTTTGCTGATCTGTTGATTCCAGGTACTCACGGAAGCATAGACATGGGAATGCCAAGCCTTGCCTGCCAGCTGAGTGCCACCCAGTGCCCTTCATGCCTCTGCTTATGTTCCCTGGAGGGCACTGTGCTGAGGATTCCTGTGACTGCCCTTCACTTAATCCCTTCTTGACCATGGAACAACTGGGCAGATTCAGTAGCCACTGTCCTATTTCAGGAAAGGGCCACTCAGATCCATTTTGATAGACCTAAGCGTTTAGAAACGAAGAAGAAAAGTTTTTTTTTTAATATAAATTCTCTATTGACTCACAGTATTCATGTTGGATACTCTTCATTCCTGATTCATCTTTGACTGAGTTTCCCCCATATTCCTTGTCCCTCCTCCTTGGTCCCTTGTCTTAGTGCTGGTGCTGGTTGCTCCTTCATTTGTATTTATTTTGCTGTCTCCTATTTGCGTCCCCATCACCGCTTCCTATTGGCTAAGGTCTTGGTCAGAACCTGGCACAATGCATGAAGTTGGCAAGCATTGCCATCTGGCATACACGGATACCCTCTCTGTCTCTTCTCCTTTGCTTCAGCTCATATGCCCAGTTGCCCATCCTCCACTCATAGGCCTTAGAGTACGCTTTCTGGAACGAGAGAGGCTGTACTCCGGCGGCGTGTGAGAGAGAGCCCTAGGTCCCAGAGGGTGAGTTAGTGAAGGAAAATGAAACAGCAAGAACAGGAGTGGGCGGCTCCGAAAACAGGCCTCCTCCAGTTCTACTCTGCCTCTAGGGTTCCCTATGTTTGTCTGCATGTCATTACAAGAGCTTTTGTCTTGCTTTTTTCCTCTGAACCAGAGGAGGCAGCGAAAATATGGGGCACCCGTGATGTGTCGCGAACAGTGCCGCGCTGTGTAGTCAACAATCCGGTTGTCATTGAAGACGTTTACCTGGGAGGTATATATTTCACTGTCTCAGTTGAGTAAGAGGAGTCTGGCGACAGCCAGTCATCCAGTCATTGTCACGTGCAGAGAGTGGGAGAGCAGCATTCCAGGCTGGGACAGTCGTCCAGTGTGGCAACTTTGGAGGCCCAGGGCAAGGAACCTTCGGCTTAGGGCTGAGTTCCAGAAAGGCATGGATTGTGCTCGGATCCTAGGTGCCGCAGGAGGCTATTACTGGCCTGTTCTTATCGTACAGGAAATGCTGGCTGCGAAAGGAGGCAGCACGCAGGGAGATACAGAGAGGGGTTTTCCGAGAAGTTTTGATTCTGTTTGACAATGAGGTCAGCGGATCAGCTAGAGGTCATGGGCAGACAGCTGTACCCATTGGATACATTAATTCTACTTATTACTGAAGCCTACAGAGTCGTAGTAATAAAGCGAAAAACAATAGATGATTGAATACCCTGCATACAGATGCTCACTTTATTGTGTAGAAATTAGTATTTTATATTCCTCCAAATGCTATTGCTTCAGCGCACGGAGTATTTCGGGCTGTGGTTTTAGTCCTGTTGGTAATAGAGTCTCACTTATTAAACAGCTGTGGCTGTGAGTCTCTGGGAACATATTCTGTCACTCTCCTACTCCCCCTTGTCCCATCATTTTGACACTTTTTCTCTCTTAGACCATCCCTGATACTTCAATAGTACTGGGTACTGTTGAATAGGACTGAGTAACTTAAAAGGGAAGACATCGATTTTCTCATCGTTTTGAATGCTGTGAGTCTAAGACCACGGTGCCACCCTTGACCTGTAGTTGACAGTCTCTCTGCTGTACTTACGCATGGTAGAAGGACAAGGAAAGAAGGGTGGAATCTTCCAGACACCATAAGAGGCCTTTCCCCAGAAAACGCTCACAGAGAGAGTTGGCCTCAGAACTGGTGGGTCTCACAGGGCAAGAAAGAGGAAGTTGATCCCAGGAGCAGGATCCATTTCCTGTCTGGAACACTGAAGGAGGAAGTGTCTGCCATCCTTCAGCCTCAGGTTGAGTTTTGAGGGTCTCAAAGACCAAGCAGTGTTTCTATTTGGACAGGTCTCACTATCAAGGGCCCCATCTTGTATAGATGCAGGTAGGCTCTCACTGGCTGGACGTGTGGAGAGAAAGGAGGTGTAGAACATTGAGAAAAGAGCTATTGAGCCTGATGGAAGGGGGGCCAAAGGGCAGGGTCTCCACCTTCCTGCTTGCGCTGCAGAGGCGGAGCTGCACACACTTGGTCATCAGGAGGGTGCTACAGAATCTGAACCCGTTTTCCTTACTGTGGTGACTTTCTGATCATCTTTATGCCAGTATTGCCTTCATCATAATCTTTCCTGTTGCTGCCAGGCTGACTTCAGTACAGCATCATTGTCGAAGCTGTCCTGTTCCCAGTTTAAATTTCACTGTCACAATCACCCTCAGAGTCTCCACCTCTTCACTCTGTTGTATTGAAATTGGGAGGAGGCTCATTCAAGGCACAGCTTTTTTTATATTCTGGGTTGATTCTAAAATATATGAAGGGTCTCAGGATGATGTACGGTTGTCTTGCCATTACAGGCTCTTGTTCTCTTCCCTACCCCAACTTTTGCTCAGGTTCTCTGTTTGTTAAAAACACACTGGGCTCCTGCACCGAGTAGGAGGTAGCCAACCTCCTCCTTCCTTTCTTGGGAGGCTTCTGTCCCTGACTAGAAGTTTAGTCTTTGATGTCTGCACCATCCTGTCTCTTTTTGGGTGCTTTCCTTAGCCAAACCTACCTCCTCTGTACTTACCTGGCTCTTGGTTGAGACTTGAGCCTACCTTGTACTGGACTGGAGAAATTCACAGATACACCCGTTTTGTCTCTTGTTCGGGAACTCTTCCAGACGGGGGAGCACATGTGTATATATCCTTTATAAATCAGTTACTTAACACATCCTAATAAGTTGCTTTGGTTGTCTCTTAAGGATCCCACATCTCAAAAATTAAACATATTCAGGATTAAAATGAAAAGATTAGAGATAAAGAAATTACTATTTTTTTATCAACAGCCGAGAAAAAAGTAGTAATCTCAAAGATGACTCGTGACCCAACCAGTGTGGTGTGACTATGGAGGGCTTTGAGTCTTGATGGTCACTTTGGATTTTTTAAAGCATCAAAGTTGACTCCCTACTAGAGATTTGGTAGGATGAAATGAGATGAACGTCTGAAGATGTTCTGAGCAGAATTAAATTGTTTTCACCATACCATTGCATTGTCTGGGGCTGGGAAAGGGTGGGTCCTTTAAGAAAGTGCTTGCTATATAAAAACGCGAGGACTCAAGAAAATTCACCGGTTGTGTTGGCCTCTGCTTGCCATCACAGAGCTGGGGAGGCTTATGGCTGTCTAGGATGTCCTGGCCAGATGAAGCCATTGCTGGGTAAATATTCTGTTCTTCCCACAAAACTACAATAACAACAACAGCAACAACAACAAAAACTGGTGTGGACAGCTCCCTCCTGAGGAACAACATGGCAGGGTTTGCCCTGGCCTGCAGAGGAACCTCCTAGGAAAGGAAGGAAGGAAAGCAAACAGCAACCTCGTTCTCCATTGAGGATCCTGGTGTGTTTCTAACCTAGAGAACACCTGAACAGAAGCCCATGGTAGACAAAAGAGAGGGGACTGCTGATCACAGAAACACAAGCAGACATGTGTGTGGGCATTCCCAGGTGTACCAGCATCAACAGGACCGTCTCTAACACATATGTGAAATTGAGTTATCATTCCATTTCCATAGTCCCAGTTTTTAAGAAAAATGCAATAAAGGTATAGAAACCCCTACACTGTGCCATTGTAAACAATGGGTATCTCTAGCATTTGATTTCTGGCTTAAAATTCAGCTTGTGTCTTAATAGCATTTCCTGCACATACGTAAATAAGTAAATGTAACCTGTTTAAAGTGGGCTGTTTTGCAGTCTAGAAGCCAATTACAGTGAACTGGGAGTATTTGAAGTTTGGTTTACTGTTTCTATGGAGACTAATATCCCTTCTCCACAACTCCTGGATAACCCAGACTCTGTGCTTCTTCCTACCAGGTTTCCATCTGTACCACAAATTGCCCACGATCGTGCCAGAGAGCTGCCTTCTCATAATGGTCGGACTTCTACTCGGTGGGATCATCTTTGGTGTTGACGAAAAGTCTCCCCCAGCCATGAAGACGGATGTGTTTTTCCTGTATCTCCTGCCACCCATCGTTCTGGATGCTGGCTACTTCATGCCCACTCGCCCCTTCTTTGAGAACTTCGGCACCATTTTCTGGTATGCCGTGGTAGGCACGCTGTGGAATTCCATTGGCATTGGGGTGTCTTTGTTTGGCATCTGCCAGATTGAGGCATTCGGCCTCAGTGACATCACGCTGCTCCAGAACCTGCTGTTTGGCAGCTTGATCTCAGCCGTGGATCCCGTGGCTGTGCTTGCTGTCTTTGAGAACATTCACGTCAATGAGCAGCTCTACATCCTGGTCTTTGGCGAGTCTCTGCTCAACGATGCTGTCACAGTGGTGAGTAAAGGAGGACCGGGAACATTGCTGGGGACCAAGCTTCACTGACATCTTTAAAGCTTCCCAAGTTATTCACTGTAGAGTGGATAACCAACCAAATGTTTTTTGCTATGCATTTAACAACATGATACAATGTCAAATGTAGGGAAGTGTTTCCCCACATGGCCACGGAGTATTAGATTCTATAGTAGACATCAGCTGACTTCCCTCTAAGTCAAATCATTTCAGATACTGTCTATCTAGAGAAAGCATCAGGCATACAGGCTGAGGGCAAAGTCCCCAGACTGTCTCTTGCCCATCTTCAGATAATAATTGCAACCCTCAGTTTGCTTGACATTTGTGGATTTTTGACCAATGGACTGTATAATGGGAGTTCCCACACCTCCTTCTTGCTGGAGTAGCTCACAAAGCTCATATACGTTGGTTTAGTATATCGATACTGGAAAAGATACAGAGGGAGGGTGTGTTGGGTAAAAGGGCATGAAACTAGCTTCATATCAAACCCTCACATGCCCAGCTATCCAGAAGCCTTCTGAATCTGCCCCTTTGGGTTCTTTTGACACAGGCATGATTGGCTATGTCATTGGCCGTTGGTTATTAATTTCACTTTCCATCTTTGTCATCATGCTCCATCCGTGTGGGTGGAAGATAGGAAGCAAAGTCTCAAATGTTGAACTTTGCCTTGCTCTTTCCAGTGACCAGGTCCCATCTTGCTGAATCTGCCACTCACCAACCAGATGTCAGCTTGCAAAGACACTTGTCAGTGTCACTGAAGAGAGTCTAAGGATTTTAGCAACCGTATGTCTGGGGAGGGTTCAGAAAATTTGAATACATATTTCATAATATCAGAGCGCTTCATTTGGATGAATGATCTTATGTTGTGACTTTGAAATTCTTAATACACATTTTAATTAGTTACTTACATTTTATTTATTATGTTGTAATTAGCTCCTTGCTTTCATTTTGCACTGGGCCCCACAAAGAGTGTACAGATGGCACTATCATAAAATACAAAGCACAAACACAAGATTAGGGAGCATAAACATGAATGTGGCCATTGTATCTCTGATGGGTTACCTCTGTGATTATTTTAAACATAATAGTTTTTAATAATAATTCAAGGGGTCTCAGATCCCTGTGAGAAGTGATGCCATTAGTGTATATAATGTACATAACATATACATATAATATATAGTACATGTAAAATATATGCTAATCTACAACACTTGTGAGTGATGTTTACTAGGGAACGTTCTCTCTGGATGAAGCAATACCATTAATATTTATAATGTATGAAATACATATTTACTCTCTGTTCATATACCATACTTGGGAAGTGACATCTACTGGGGCACATTCTGTCTGGGGACAGTGTGACTGCTATTGATGTTTATAGAGAAATCTTTCCTCACATGCACACTTTCTACTCCCACTGACCCAGCACACCCCTGGTCCCCATCTTGTTCCCATAAGCAATATTTTTATTTTTATAAAGAACCATTTAATAGAAGGAATTATTCTACTTCTCTCTTAAATGCCACATATGGAGCCAGAAGCTCCTGTGACCTCAGCTTTAGTAGCGGTTATTTCCACCTTGCCTTCTCAACTTGGACGAGGATGATGGCGTGGACAAGGAAGATCCTCCCCTGATCCACAGACCTTTAGACTGCTCTCCCTTCAGAGTTACAGTCAAGTTACCCTGAATTGGAGCCAGTTAATTGGCACCAGTGAGACTTGACGAGTGGCAGGAATGGCAGCCATTAGCTCTTACCAAATGCTTCTCTCATGACTAGATCCTTAGACAACCTGTGGAAAAGATATTGCTGCTTTGTAGGTGAGATGGAGGTGAACAGATTACAGGGTGCTGGCCTCACCTCCCTTTCTGCACTCTCCCCATTAGCTCTTACCCTTCAAATGTTATTCATGGCTCATTTGACAGTGAGCATGGAAACAAGTGTGGGTCTCCATTAGTTATATTTTATTGTAAAACAGATTCCTGAACTAAACAAAAATATTTTTTGTAATCTGGAAAGATGTTCATTAACTCCAGTTGGATATTATTATGGAGAAAATAATTTGATGGCTAATAAGTTATATCAGTTTCGAATAGCTTCTAGGATACTTTTAAGACAAGTTAACTTAGTAGCAAAACTTACTTCATACATTCCATTATTTAGTAACAGTGATTTGCCATTAACTTTCAATATTAAATTTTAACTAGGAAACTGCGTAACAGTAAAGACATTTATCACTCATTCTATTTCCTCAGGCTTCAGGTATTCCATTGGGACTTACATTTACATGTAAATTTTACCCTTGCTAGAGGAGACTGTGGGCCTATGAATGCGGAATTTTTGGAGTGAACCAGTAATGAAATAAGAACACTTGCTGGATTCCTTCTAACGATGTCAGCAATGTTAGGCTGGTTTCAGAATGATGTGCCGTTTATATGGCCTTCCTACCGCTCAGAAAGTACCTTATCCAGTTAGATTTCAGGAAGAGATCTGGTTAACTCAGTATTCAAAGTGTGTAAACGCAGTGGGGGATACAGAGGCACATCCTGCACTTGCTCTAAGGATGGACAGTCAGGAGCTGTGCTGTGGATGAAGATGGATGGCTGCCCCAGGGAAGGCAAAGAAGGGACACAGAAAGCACATGGCTATGTGTAAAGGTGGAAGAAGCTGCCATACTAATTTCCAAAGCAGCTGTGTAAGTTTGCACTCCCACCAGCAGTAGAGGAGTGTTCCTTTACTCCACATCCTCTCCAGCATAAGCTGTCATTGGTGTTTTTTATCTTAGCCATTCTGACAGATGTAGATGGGTATCTCAGAGTCATTTTGATTTGCATTTTCCTGATGGCTTGTTCTATATTGCTTTCAGAAAACTGGTAATCAATGACCCAGCAATACTACTTTTAGGCACATACCCAAAGTAAACACAATCATATATCACAAGGACATTTGCTCAACTATGCTCATAGAAACATTATTTATAATATCCAGAACCTAGATTCACCTCAACTGAAGAGAATGGATAAAGAAAATGTGGTACATTTATGCAATAGGATATTACTCCGTGGTAAAAAGCAATGTCATCTTGAAATTTGTAGGCAAGCGAATGGAACTAGAAGAAAAAAACTCATCCTGAGTGAAGTAACCCAGACTCAGAAAGACAAATACAGTATGTACTCACCCATAAGTGGATATTATACATAAAGCAAAGGGTAACCAGGTTATGATCCACAACCCCAGTGAGGCTATATAAAAAGGAGGACCCTAAGAGAGACACAAATGGAGGGTCCCAGGAAAGGGAAATAGTTGAGATCTCTTGGGTAAACTGGAAGGGGATAGAAGAAGGGGGTGGGGATGGGAACATGAGGGCTTAAGATGGCTAGGTTGGGGGAGTGATGGAAATGGAAAGCAGTAAAAGAGTTATGGTATTAGGAAAAAACCTGGTGCTAAGGAAAGCCTCAGGAATCCACAAGGATGACCTCAGTTAAGACTCCTAGCAATAGTGGAGATGGTGCGTGAACAGGCCTTCTCCTGTAATCAGATTAGTGACTACACTAATTGCCATCATTGAACCTCCATCCTGTAACTGATGGAAGCCGATGCAATGATTCACAGCCAAGCACTGGAATGGACACCTGGAGTTCAGTTGAAGAGAGGGAGGAGAGATTATATGAGCAAGTGGGGGATCAAGATCATGATTGGGAAAACCACAGAGTCAGCTGAGCTGAGCTAATGGGAGTTCACTGACTCTGGACTGACATCTGGGAAACCTGCATGGGATCAAACTAGGCTTTCTGAATGTGGGTGACAGTTATGTGGCTTAATCTCTTTGGGGGAACCCTTGCAGTGGGACCAGGACTTAACCTGGGTGCATGACCTGGCTTTTTGGAGCCCATTCCCTATGGTGGGATATTTTGTTCAATCTTGATATGAGGGGAGGGGCTGGGTCCTGCCTTAACATGGTATGCCAGACTTTGTTACTCCTCAAAGGAGGCCTTACTACATCTGAGGAGTGGATGGGGGATAGTGTAGGGATAGGTAGAGGGACAGGAGAAGGGGGGGAGGGAGAACTGGGGGTCATATGTAAAATGAAAAAAAAAGGCCTATAAATTTAAAAAAAAGTGAAAGAAGCTCTTGCCCATAGCCATAACCAGTAAGTCAGAACAACCTAATGGTTTTCGGTGGAAGACCGTGACTTGGCTTGCAAGCTCCCTCAAAACATACACTCATGGAACATTAGAATTTTTTCCCTACCCAACACTTGCTTACCTGGTGGCAAAGAATAAACTCCCTAAGGTTTCTCTCTCACAGAATTGGCTAAATACCACACTGAGCGTGCAGTGGTGGTACACTCCTTTAATTTCAGTACTCTGGAGGTAGAGGCAGGTGGATCTCTGTGAGTTCAGGGCCAACCTGGTCTACAAGAGTTAGTTCCATGACAGGCTCCAAAGCTACAGAAAAACCTGGTCTCGAACCCCCCCCCCACACACACATAAAAAAAAAAAAACCAAAACAACACACACCAAACTGAATTCATATTAGGATTAACTAGAGTAATGGTGTAGACTATGATTTGTCTTCTACTCAAAGTCCTTCAAAGGACATTTTAGCAGAGACCATTCAGTGAATTTCCAGAGGGTTCTCACTAGGAAAGGTTTTTAGAACTCGTGGAATAGGAAAAGATATGAAAACAGCAATCATGATGCATCACCAGGTAATGTGAGATTCCCCTCTGTATGCTATGAATATCATTGGTTAATAAAGAAACTGTCTTGGCCTGTGATAGGGCAAAAAAAAAAAATAGAGCTAAGAGGGGAAAAATAAAGTGGATGCTGGAAGAAAAGAGGTGGAGTCAGGGAGACACCATGTAGCCCTACCAGAGACAGCCCAGACAGAACTTTACCTGGCAAGCCATAGCCACGTGGTGATACATGAATTCAGATGTAAGAGTTAGCCAATAAGAAGCTAGAGCTAATGGGCCAAGTGGTGATTTAATTAATACAGTTTCTGTGTGGTTATTTGGGAGCTGAGCTGCCAGGTGGTCAGGGAACAAACAAGCAACCTCATACAACAACCAGGAGCTGAAGATTGAGGGATAGCAGTATATCAGAGCAAGGCCATGTGACATCAACTCACTCCTTCCTATGTCAAGATGAACTCAACTAGAAAGGCTAAGGGGAAGAAATCCTAGCTCAAAACTACCCCAAAGCATGTACAACATCTAATCCAGACGTTACAGACCAAACTCCCCAGGCTATCGTCAAAGGCTAAGGTAAATTAGAATCAAGGGGAGGAATGGCACACAGTTGAAAAAATTAAAACTGATTTTTAGTATTAATCCTTTTTGATATTTTTATGAAAATATTTCCAATCCAAAGACTGTCCAAGATCCTAAATATCAGAGACGTCCCAGTGTGTCCACAGTGGTCTGTAACAAATTGGCTTCTTCTTACAAGGTCATGGCTAACGTCATGCCTAGAGCCTACTGCAGCCATTGACTGTTTTAACACAGTTTCCAAAAGATTCAAGGAGCTTCTTTGAGTGTTTCCTACTTAGCTACCTATAGATAAGGTTGGTAAAGAACAACCGTCTTTGAAGACAGATGCTAATGATATAACTTGGTAGCAAGTTATCATGGGCTGTGGGTGGAATTTCACGTAAGGAAGGTAAGCACAGAACATTGTGTATTCAATCTAGACTTGCAAGTCCAAGAATTATCTGAAATTCATGATATAAAATAATTATGCTTTGAGTTTTATAACAAAGTGGTCTGCATGCTCTTTTTCTGGGATGAACAACTGTATTTGCATAATTTCCTTTATACATGTACACTGAATCAGAACACATTTTAAATCCAAAGTTAATCATTTAACTCATAATTTTCACATATGCATATATGTAAATATTCATTACAAATAGACCTTAGGTCATATGGCAGACTTGAGAGCACTCAGCCTTCACATTGGCCTATTATTAATTTATTAAAAGGTGTCACTGAAATTTTAATTTCTTAAAAATACACATCAACTTCTGGCCAACACCTGAGATATTTCTGCATACACATACTTCATTATCTACATGTACACAACATATACATTTGCATGCATGCATGTGCGTGTATGTGTATAAATTAAAACTACAAATCTCTTTTCTGTATAAATTACCTCAGACAAAATTAAAGAATTAAACAGAAATGAACTATCTATGCAGTTATAACTAGTTGCATAAAATTAAATATAAAACAAGTTGGAACTTACAGAAGCTTTTCAATTAAGTAGATACTGCTTAGACCTCGCCAGTCCCTCCCACATGGCACTGTTATCTTTGGCAGCGAACTGCTCAAACTGGACTTTTGTCAATTGCCCAAGAGTAAAGCACCTGTGATTCAGCTTCTCTCTTTCAGTATTTAGAACAGTATTTGAAGCAGAACATTACTCTAATAGATTGGATGTGTTGAGTAGCTGGGGAAAACAACTTAGAAAGGGCCGTGGCTGTGCTGCACTGATAACAATTATTTTATGTACAAGAACATTCAAGTTCCCGCTGTGGTCCCGTCAGTGTGATAGGTGGAGGGATGATGGAGGTGCAGCAGACTCCTTCTGGCTCCATCTGGGAAGAAGTTTCTTGCCCTATTAGTGGAAACATCATACTCACTGGGAAGGCAGCTAGCGCAAATGGCAAAGGGCTATCTATGTGATTTGGGGTCCATTTGTAAATTGCAGTTCAAAGGAAAGGACAATACCCACAGGCTGTAGGAATTCATAAGGGCCCTTCAGAAGAATGGCAGCTCCAGGAATGCTACTTTGGAAGACAGTTCCCAGGGCTAGGAACTTGCATCCATCAAGGAAAATGGCAGGAAGGAAAAGCATAGGCAGGAATGGGGACATGTGGTGTGTTTTGTAGAATATTAGGGAAATTCTTACCCTGACTTTTAAGGGTATTGTGAAAAGCAGTAAATCATGAAGGAAGGGAGAGGGAGGGAGGGAGAAAGGAAAGAAAGGAGAGAGAGAGAGAGAGAGAGAGGAAGAAGAAGAAATGAAGGATGGGATGGAGGGCAAGATCCACCTATATTGAGACTATCATGTCTTCTCAGAGTCAGGCGACCAAAGACTTTTTACTCCTGGGAATAGAAAATGGAAAATATGAAAAAGTTGGGTAGATAGACGGAGAGACACGGGCTCACTGGTGCAGGCTGGCAACAAGCGGAGTAGGGCTGGCAGGGTTGAGGACTTAACTATAGGATCTAAGTGGAGTTGGAGGGAAGGCAAAACCTGAACTGGCCTATCATTGAACACTCTGGGAAAAGCCGCTTCTGAGACAATGGCGTCTGCCACCTTTGTCTTTGGCAGTTTGGAGGCAAGAGATTCGTATGTCACCTCTTAAGCACGGCCAGGCAGCAGTGTAACACTGAACTGCTACTGTACCGGATCCTGTAGCAAACTCATGGCTGAAAGTAGGAACTGGAGCATTCACTAGGCAGCACAGAGGACAGAAATCATAATAAAGTACCTATTGACCCCAAGGGGCTTGTAGTCCTGAAGAAAGGAGGAAAATGTGTCTGCAGAGCACATGTAAACAAGGTGGAGGGAGTGGTATGGCATTTGCTGGGGCATGGGCTGCTTATCAGGAGGTGGTTGACTCATGTGCCCATGTTAAACCTTGAAGATCTTATCCAGGTCAGAAAACCTGTATTCTAACATTTTGTGTCACTTGACTTTAGAAAATTTAGAAAATTTTGCTTGACTGTGGCTTTCTTAGAAGCCAGATGAAGGTACACTCCAGTCCTTGGGTCCAATGCCTTCACAAGTCGGCTTTCATAAATTCTGAATGCCCCCACGGTGGTAAAGTTCACAGTGAAAACAATTCAGGAGACTTGTTTGAGTTGAGCTTGACTCTCCATCTGTGGGGAAAATCGATGAGGCTTCACTTCCTCTCCCATGTGACACTGGGGCTTCCACACATGGTTAAAAGCGTTGTCCAGTGGACATGAAGTGAGTCGAAGTTTTAATTAAATCAAGACTGCTGAAAACTAAACAGGAGTGAATTCATTCATTTTCAGGCATAAAGAATGTGTGTGTGTGTGTGTGTGTGTGTGTGTGTGTGTGTGTGAAGCTACAGCACACATACACCATACAGACACACCAAGTATATGTGGCCTCTTTATGTTAAGAAACATCCTTGGTATTATGTGCTTTTACATGTCACCAGGAACACTACATACGTAGGGAGAACAATGTGGGATATAAGTGAAGATGGCTCTCCTGGGAGGAGGACTCCTTCAGTGGGGTAACTGTCCCAGAGGGTGTTCCCATGCCATGTAATGGCTCTATGGTAGAACTTATCAGGCAGGCTGATAAGTTTCTGTATGACGCAAGACTTCTGAGCGATGGCAATGGGAACAAAATAGGCAAGCAAGTAGTTTAAAATATCCTTCCAGGTGGTAGCTGGAAAAATTAATGCTTTAGGGATAATTTGGGCGGTAGCTTTGCAATATGCCCTTCTTTACTTCTCAAAATAGTTTATCTGACAAGACACCAAGACAATTTTTGCCAAAGATTTTGTTTATTTAAAGCCACAGTTGTCTTCTATATGGCAAATTAATTACGCAGTAGTTTCCTGTGACACTGAACAGCTCCTTCTTTGAAAATTTTGACTGTGCCCAGGGTGATCACAGGGCAAACTGGGAGGCATATTTCTATTCTTTCTCATGTGTATGCATGTGCGCATGTATGTGGCGCATATCTGTGCATGTGAACGTATGTGGGTGTGGAGGCCCAAGATTAACACTGGGAGTCTTCCTCCCTTGTTCTCTGCTTTGTTTACTCAGGCAAGATCTCAAAGCTCACCCCAGTTTGATGGCCAGCTGGTTTCTGAGAGTCCCCCTGTCTCTGTCCCCTGCCTGGGGTTACAAACAGGCCTCCATGCCAACTCTGAATTTGCGAGGGTACTGGGAATTTAAACAATGATGCTCACACTTGTGTGTGACCAGCACTTCTCCACTGACATGTCTCTTGCTCCTGAGAGGCCAACGGTGGTGTGTTTTCTTGTTCCTCTAGGTCCTATACAACCTGTTCAAGTCATTCTGCCAAATGAAAACCATCCACCCCATCGACGTGTTTGCGGGCATCGCGAACTTCTTCGTCGTGGGAATTGGCGGAGTGCTCATCGGCATCCTCCTGGGATTTATAGCTGCCTTCACCACCCGTTTCACACACAACATCCGGGTCATTGAGCCACTGTTTGTCTTCCTGTACAGCTACTTGTCCTACATCACCGCTGAAATGTTTCACCTCTCAGGCATCATGGCGTAAGTGTCTCACCGCTCACAATCCTTGGGTCCTGCAATTCCTTGTACCTGTGCATTCGGGGCTATTACAGTTGATAGTGTTATGTAAAAGGCTAGGTTTTCTTATCCTGAGAACAACTAGAATTGGATTCTCCATAAACCTTTTGTTACATCGTAATGAAAGTTCATACTATCCAGATTTAATGCTAATACAATCTGGAGCTGACACGGAACAGGTGCTAAAATTAACCCTTGCGTGTCCTATGAAATGCAACAATGAACTTGATTGTTGCTCTGGATCAGATATCAGCATTTTAGGAGGCTGATCCCCTTCACTGTGCTCTGTGTGGGAGACTGCAAAATATTCCTGCCAGGTTGCATCGCCGAAACTGTCCATGGGGTTCTAGAGCCGTTGCTGTGGGCCCATTTAAATGCCCTAACTCACAGTAGACTTGCTGGCAACAGTTTAAACTCATTTAATACAGCATGCTATGGATAAGATCCTGCAATTTAATGTGGATTATTTTAAAATGGAAGTTAAGTATTTTGATACGGGGTTCAAATGATCTCGAAATAAATAATACTAAGTAATTTATTAAAGATACAGTTACTGTTTTATTCACTCACCTGGGAGGAGGTTTTGAAAAGCTTGTATATGTTAGCTGCAGATTGCTAATATTTGGATCACACTGGCCTTCAAGATGTTATCTTGAAGAAAACTAGTCAACGGAGGGTTTTACCCCAAACAAGGGCAATATATGATGATTGAATTCTCTCTATAGTCAATGAAAAACACCTTAGGAATAAATAGCAGATGCCTACTTTGCTTTTGTCTTGACATTCAGTGACACCCTGTAAGCTGTAGTCAGCCCGTGTTAGGGTGTGGAGAATGTTTTTAGGGTTTGCTCTGTAATGTAGGCCACATTCTTTCTACAGCTTTCTCCCCTGTCCTGATGTAGGTGGTGCTTTGATTGAAGAGTGTCTGGCTGCATGCCTCTTAGCAACACTTTCATTTCAGACGCAGATGGAGTCTGTGGTGCAAGGGGAGGTAAAGAGAAGTCGAACTCGTCATAAAAGCCACGAGTTAAAGGTTAGGTGGTTTTTCCGTTTCAAAGAGAACCTAAATAAAGCAACGCATTAATCCAGTTGACCCAGTAATGAAACCTTCCTGGTTGCTATTCATATCACTGTGTGACTTCCAATGTCCCCACTGTTCTTTGAGCAGCACCATTGAAAATGTGTGATCAGCTAATTACAAGGGCCGCCAACAGCATACGGACGGGGCCGGGTGTCTAATTTCTCAGCAGGGTTGTTCTAGACTCAGGTCCGTAGGAACCCTGGATTTCATAATCTGACCGTGGGCTATGTGCCTGTCACTTGTCTAGAACACTGAAAGGAGCCATAGGAAATTAATCATTTTGTACAATGTTCCAGAGTGGGGATCCCTGAAGGCACTGGGTGGTTGAAAAGTCACACGAGGGAAGAAATGGGTGTGGGAGCAAAGACGAGGATGCTTAAAGTATGTTGCGCCTAATTCTCCACAATTCTCCACCAACTGGAGACCAAATCTTCAAATGCCCTGAACTTACAGAGGACATCTCATTCAAACTATCCCGTCTACATTGTACCAAAATAATATAAGGACCAATAAGGACAAAACTAAGTAAGAGCTTCTAAGAGATCAGAATTCTTGCACAGCCACTGTCCTTTGACAGTAGATAAATGGGCATATTTGCATCAGTGCACCAATTCTCTCACAAGTGGAGCTCTGTGTTTTAATGTGGGGTGGTCAGTGCACTGCTCAAACCCCTAGTGGGTGTGATGCTTCTCTAGGGTACACTCACAGGTACATTTGTGGGCACTCAATGTATGAACTCCCAGGCTGTAGCTACTATACTGACCTCGGGACCCTGGTGTTGTACGGAGAGGAGCAGGCTACATCCCGCCACCCGGCTAGCTTATAGCCGAAATAACCACACGGAAATTGCATTAATTAAATTACTGCCTGGCTCATTAGCTCTAGCCTCTTATTGGCTAACTCTTACATCTTGGTTAACCCATTTCCATTAATGTGTATCGCCACTTGACTCTGGCTTACCCGCATGAGTCTAACCAGCGTCTGTCTTGGACAGGAGAAGCATGGCATCTGCCTGTCTCTGTTTTCTTCCTCCCAGAATTCTGTTCTGTCTCCCCCACCTACCTGAGGGCTGCCCTATCAAAAAGCCAAGGCAATATCTTCATTTGACCAATGAAAGCAACACATAGACAGAACCTCCTACACCACCCTGGCCAAGGCATACAGCAAATCCATGTCATGGGAGGTTTGCATCAACACTCTTCTCATGGAACTAAGAAATTCTTCTGGACTTGAATTGCACTGAGATTCTAAATGATTCTCACCCTTCCCATTACTTAGGCTCTTTTTTATTATTAAAAACAAAACAAAGCAATCTTAAATTTAACAGAAGTAAAGATTCTGGGAATACTGAACATGCTAAATTCTCTTCATTGTTTGCTGAGGAGGAGAGGATGTCATCCCAGGGATGCAAATAGGCAGAAGGGCAGTCAGGTGACCTCAGAGTCTAGACTCCATCCCAGTGATCTGTGTAATAGTTATGAAACAGCCCACTTCTGCCTTCTGTCCTTCCTGGTGCGCTCTCTAATCTTCTTCCATCCTTCTCCCTCCTCCTATTGCCCTTGTAGTCCTCTGACGTGGTTCAGGAGCTTTGCCTTTAGCTGAATTCTGACAGCCTGTCCTGGAATGTGCTCATGGAAGTTAACAGGAGAGTCTGACTGGGAAGAAATTTCCTTCTACAGAGAAAAAGACGTGGCTTTAGGCTAAAAAGAAAACCAGATTTTCAGGGTGGAAAGTCGAATTTATGTCTTGGTTTGAGTGAGGTCATCCAGGCAAGTGTTCTTGGGTCTTCAGAAAGCTTGTTGCTTCTGCTGTTTGCTGTCATGAGGCTGTAGTTGGACAGGACCCTCACTGACAACCACATTAGTTACTCTGTGATGGTAGGCTTCTGCCCTTCACTGGACATTTTTAGATTTAGATTTGAATTTCCCTTTCTGATGTTGCCAAATGCTTTAACACCTCATTGAATGTGGAAGCATAATTTCTGCCTGCTTTCTCCTGTATTTCCAGGTGGGACTTAGGTGTGTGTGTGTGTGTGTGTGTGTGTGTGTGTGTGTGTGTGTGTCTAAGACACATCTTTCTATGTCTAGGTGGTTCAGAGTTCATTTTTTTTGTGTGGCAGTAAGCCTAAAGTTCAGGAACGTTTTCATACCACCATCTACACACAAAATGTTGTATATCAATAGCTCTGGACACTTTTCTTTGTATCAAAGCAGCATTGAACGGGATACAGAGGTGACTAATGGGTCTTTTAGGAACTAGAAAACTCTTGACTTCATGTAAGTATTTGGAACTTTGTGCTCAGTACATACTCCTGAGGATTTCCCACTGATAATGGGGGATTCACCCTTTCTTCTCAAGGACTTGGATTGATTCTTTGATGCTCTCCTAAAATTAAATCCATTAAAAATAATTTCCTTTCATGGAAGTTTGTGATCTCCCTTTGGATACCAAGTTCTGGGCTTCAGCTTGTACCTCACACAAACCTCTTGGGTCTGAGAGCATTGCCCTGCAGAGGAGTGTTTGACCTCTTTTGTAGCTTATAGCCCTCTGGGAAAGGATGCCTCCCCCCCCACCCCAGCTTTCAGGGATTTCAGAAATGTTTCATTTCTTGGAGGAGTTGATAATCAGTGTTTTAAATTTCATTTTAAATAGGTTAATAATTCCATAGAATTTCTTCTCTGAAGACTACTTCCTAAATATTTTATATTTATTGTTTCAATTATTGTACCTGCCTTATTGCAAAAACGTAGGAAGTGGTAGTTTTTAACTTTACTTAATGAATGTGTACATTGAGGCCCAGACAGGTAGTTACAGCTGTATTCTGGCTCTCTAGAAGCTGATCCAGTCCAGTCCATGTTAAGAAAAATGGGGAGGAGAGAAGAAACATGAAAAAGAAAGGAGATGGAATTTCTAGAATGTAGGTGTTTCTAGAATGATGAGTTCAGGTCTGGTCTAGGTGTGGATCCAGCCTGTGACTGAGCTGGTCACTTTTGCAGTGAGGACTTGTTCTTTCTTCTTATTTTCCTCTGTAGGGTTGACGTCATCTGTTCTACGCTTTGAGAGGAATGGGAAAGCTTATCTTTGTTTCCTATACTGTACTGGGTCTGGATCCCTTCATTAGTTGCTCAGAAGGGTTCTGAGGAATGAGAGACATGTTGTTGTGACAAAAAATACATACAATTTATTCAGTAAAGTGATGAGACTGAGTAGATCAAGGTCCCTAAAAGCCCTGGTCATGTGGGTTTTAGCTCCTTTAATTTTAGGAGGAAATGATTGACAGAACTGTGTTGGTAATTTGTTGGTTTACATCAGATCTAAAGTGGGAAGATTGATACTGGGGAAGTTTGGGGTCATGTAAGCTAGTGATGCTAGTTTAAATGATGAATTAGGTCTTTTCTAGCTTTTCTGGGCTTTTCTAGCAAAGGATAACATCTGTGGGCTGCGGCTGCTCTCTCCTCAGTCTTCTTTGTGCTTTGTAGCATCTAGGAGCTTACATCTACTTTTTCACTAGAACGTCCTAGAATGATATTTATCTTTATCTTGTATTGATTGCTTGACTTCAAGTAAACAATTCAAACCATAGAAAAATGCAAAGGATTTTATGATTTAGTTGTCAGACCCTAAACAACACAGAGTAGTGGTTCTCAACTTTCCCAATGCCATTACTCTTTAATATAGTCCTCATGTTGTGGTGAACCCTCAACCATATAGTCATGAATAATGAATAAAGCTGCTACTTTATAACTGTAGTTTACTACTGTTATGAATTATCATGTAAATATCTGATATTTCCAATGGTCTTAGGCAACCCCTGTGAAGGAGTCATTTAACCCCCAAGGGGTCGCAACCAACAGGTTGAGAACTGCTGACTTAGAGTTGCAAG